CATATGCTGGAGGGTAGAAATTTCTTAATCCTAACGGACCACAAGCCGTTAACGTACGCGTTTCAACAACGCTCCGACAAAGGTTCTTGTAGGCAATTGGATTTCATTTCGCAGTTTACTACCAACATCCTTCATATAAAAGGATCCGAAAATATCACTGCCGACGCCCTTTCTCGAATAAATGCTATCACAATGCCTTCTCCAATTATTTATGACAAAATCGCTCTTTCGCAGCATAACGACCCAGGATTAAAACAATTATTGAAAATTCTCAGGGTTTACTAGTAAAAAAGATATCGTAACCTAATTGCTCGCATTCTCTTTATTGTGACGTTAGCAACAATTGAACGAGACCGTATGTTCCCAAACAATTTCGAAAAAAAGTTTTCGATTCGTAGCATAATCTATCCCACCAGGAATCCGTGGAACTTCAAAATTAATTCGCGCGAGATTTGTCTGACCTTCTATAGGAGAAGATTGCACAACATGGGCTAGACATTGCATACCGTGTCAAAAATCAGAAATAATTCGACATAATGAAGCCCCTGTAGGTGATTTCAAGGACTAATCACAGAGGTTTGATCACGTACATATTGATGTCGTAGGTCCACTCCCACCATCAAATGAAAATAATTATTGTTTAACTATGATAGACAGGTTTACGCGTTGGCCAGAAGCTGTGCCAATTTCAGATATCACTGCACAGATGGTCACTAAATACTTTTATAGTCACTGGTTTTCCAGATTTGGCTGTCCAGCTCGTGTCACGACAGACCAGGGATGCCAATTTGAAAGTGCATTGTTTAAAGCGCTCTCGCAACTACTTGGTATTCAAGGAATCAGGACCTCACCTTATCATCCTCAGGCAAATGGCCTGATCGAGGAGTTCCATCGAACACTGAAGACTGCACTGAAAGCGTATGGTACTGACCAATGGTCCACAGCCTTGCCGACAATTCTGCTAGGGTTCAAAGCCGTGTTCAAGGAGGATGTAAAAACAACAACTGCAGAATTAGTGTAGGGGAGCGTCGTTTTATAGAAAGAGTTTTTCTATACATACAGCATTAAAGTATGTAGTCTTAAGTTTAATTTGCACAAAGAAAGAAGTTTGTAAGTAAAAAATTGTTCGAGTAATTACAAATTTACAAAAAAATTGAATTTCGGGTAGCCCCGCTCACATGAATGTCGGGTATCACCGTCCAATTTAATTTCGTCGATAAATGTACGGTAGCAAAGATTATTATTTTATTGCTTCAAATTTGAATGTTATATGCATTTTTAACAGCAAATATTGTTGTTATTAAATGATTGTTATTAAATGATAGAATTCACTAAAAGTATATAAATATGTAATAAATAAAATAATTTTGTGATAAAAATGATAAATGAGGTTTATCTATTGTCAATACATTGGTCATTTTCATTTACACCTGAAAAAACAGTCAAAAAACATAATTTTTGTAACTGGGCGGGGCTACCCGACACATTTTGAAAAGAGCTGAAAAACATGTTTTTTTAAATTTCTATTTTTTTAAGTTAAACTATTCTTTTCTTGGTTTATTCTTTTTGCATTACTTAATTAGATGATAAAACAATAGAAACATACAAAAATATTGAGTATTACTCAATATTATGCAGAAATATAAGCAATACTCCTTAAGTGAGCGGGGCTACCCGACTCTCCCTTATGGGAAATCACTAAGATTACCTGGAGAACTTTTTACTCCTTCACCTGTAGAAGTTCTCCCCAAGCAACTAATCCAAGACATAAAAGTCCATTTCGAGAGAGTGAGGTCAGTACCCACTTCTAGACATCCCGGTAGATCTGTTTTTGTCCATCCGTATCTAAAAGACTGTTCCCATGCTTTCGTCAGCCACGATGGTGTGCGAAAGCCGTTGCAGGCTCCTTATGACGGTCCCTTTGAAGTTCTGCTTAAGAAGGACAAAACTTTTGATGTCCGACTCAAAGGGATCCAACAGACTATCGCCATCGATCGCTTGAAGCCGGTCTATATGACTACTGACAATACTGGCTTTTCTCCAGACGAGCCAACTGTGGATAAAGAGACTGTTCCAGCACCACCAATTGGTACAACCAAAACAACAAGTACAGGTAAGCCTATACGACTCAAGGTGGTTAAATAGACTGTCCCAGCACCACCATCCAATACAACACATACAGGGAGATCTGTAAGGCCTCCTCATCGATATTACCATTAACAAAGTTACTGCGGAGGGAGTGTGCAGCGACCTGCGCCAGTGTAGCGATTACGGACATCTTCTGGGAACCCGCTCTCCCTTTTGGCGAGTTCCTCTAGTAGTTATGTTATGACAACCCAATCAGAGCATTTTTTCTCTCCCTGTAGTACAGTGACTGTTTTCCTCCAGCGCGGCATGTGCAGTGTTTTTCTACTCCTGGCATTTTCGGTCAGGCTTTTTATGTAGCGTTTATTTAATCTTCTTATTTTTTATTACATATTGTTAATTGTTATTTTATGGTTGGCATTTTATTTTAACAATGTTTTATTTATTAATTAATTATTTCTCTTTTCTTTAGCAAAACATGAATTATTTTACTATAAATTATTTCAACGCATGTGGCCTAACCACGCGCACCGAAACATATTAGGAATGACGTATGCGATGGCACCACATACCATCATAAAAAAAATGATATCAATAAAATCAATAGAGGCCATTTTATCGACTAGGTTATTTCGTCGACAGGGTCATTTCGTCGACAAGTCATTTCGTTGACAGGGTCTTTTCGTCGACAAGTCATTTCGTCGACAGGGTCATTTCATCGACAGGGTCATTTCGTCGACAAGTCATTTCGTCGTCAAGATCATTCAGAGTAAAAATTAATGTATTCTACAAGCACGCAAAGTGGAAAAACATGAAACTTTCAAAAAGTGTCCACTCTTTTGGCCACCACTGTATATACTCTCACTGCAAATTTTATTAATTTAAATAAATTTTTATTCTCTGTCAAATCGAAAAGAAAAACATTTTAATATTTGAGTAAAAAAACAAGTTTGCTAAACTTATTTTAATAAAACATTAAGGAGAATAAAATCAGATGCATATTCATAACTCTCCTCAATTATGAACTCAAAAGTCAATGTATTTGTTATATCGTAATAAATTGCGTTTTTCCCCCAAATGTTTTAGATCATAAAAACCAATTAGACAGGTTTCCTCCCCTCCTCTGATTTGGAATCATTTGTTATATCATTTCGATTGCATCGCATACCGAGGATGTGGAGTCATTGTGAGTTTTTTCTTTTTTTTTTACATTAACGAAGTTTATTTTATAAGGTAAAAGAACTTATAAATGTTTAAGGAACACATAGGATAAAATACCTATTGAACTATTAAACACCAAAACCTTATAAATAATTAATTGAATAAGAAATAAAATAAATTGGAAATACAAGAACAAGATTTTTGCTTAAAATAATATTTCATTTAAATTTCACAGGAATTGTCAGAAACTTTCCTCTTCAGCAGCATAGCTGACAAAGACATGAGGAAGAGGGTTAGAACAAAATTTTTTATCAACAATATTTCCCAATATGTTTTCCAAGTTGGATTTTCATTTTATTTTTCCCCACATGCATTTTTTTCCCAGGATTTTTATAATACTGGGAAGTTCCGGCCCTAGCTCACTTCGCTCACCAACCTTCGTAATAGCCACTCATACAACTTAGTTTGTTTTTTTCCTATATCGATATTTTTTTTAAAGAGAAAATATATAAATATTGAAATTTTATGTAAGAAAATTTTATTAATATGTCAATAGTAACAAAATTAACGATTACTTGCATATGAAAAAAAATCAACTGAGCTTGAAAAAAATAAATATCTAAACACCGGGAATATATTAATTTTTGATAAAACAAGAAGTAATTTCACTAGCTAACTATCTAAAAGATTTGTGTTTTTCGGATTAAATTCTTTGTAAACATCACCATCGTTATCATTGTAAAAGTTTGTTCCTTTTCTTTCTCTCTCCTTTTTTCCTTTTTTTTTTTGACAAGATTTTACACTGTATTCATGCGCATTACTCATTGTGGGGGAACATTATACAAGTATAATTTTCTTTTTATCGACAGAAAGTTTTTGCAGCTGAAATGGCCTGTCGATGAAGTGATTGTCGATGAAATGAATGCGACTCCGACGAAATGACCCTGTCGACAAAATTACCCTGTCGATGAAATGACCCTGTCGACGAAACGGACTGTCGACGAAATGACCTAGTCGATGAAATGGCCTGTCGATGAAATGGCCAGTCGATGAAATGGCCAGTCGATGAAATGGACAGTCGATGAAGTGATTGTCGATGAAATGAATGAGACCCGTCTTACATAGCAGGAATTTTTCTACTAGGATGGAGTCAGCATATCGTGTTTGAAGAGTCGGTATAAGTCGTGAACCAGAGACTAACAGAGGCTATATCAACGATACATATATTCTCTTGATTATATCTGTTAAAACTAAATTAAAATTTTAAATTTTTTTTCTAAGATTTCAACATTTGCATAGATTTTTTGTAGTGGAAAATACGACTTCGATATTCTCGTATGAAACCAGTTGTGCAAACATTCTAAAATATTCGCAAAGTGTCTACCGGACAATAACTGAATAAACATACGTCAGTAAAAAATGTATGCAAACTTGAAAACGAAATGCCGGTGGCAGCCACAGCTGTACCCATTTTTGGTATGGCAACCGACAAATAGCGCTAACTTCATAACAGTTCATATGGTTCGGTAGTTCATCTTGCAATCAATTTTTTTTTCAGATCGGATTTTGAATTTCAAAGTTCTTATACTAGTTCCCGCGATTAGAGATTAAAAAAAAAAAAAATAGATCACTCGTCATATCAGTTTGAAATGCTGCGTGCATTAATTTCTGAGCTTTCATTCATTCATTGCGTGATGATGTCATTGCTTAAAACAAGATTTATTCAATGCCATAAAAATTTGAAAAGAGAAAAAGTTGTTGAGTAACCGATTCCCTTTTTCAAATCCTCACTCTTTGGACTTTCCTTTCTTTGTTCGCCTTTGTTTCCTGTCCGCCGCGGTTTTCATTTATTCGAAAGGATCGCCGAGTTCTACTGCCAGTGAGAAAGTCACTCAGTGACTTCCTCTTGTTGACCCAATAAAGGTGAGCAATTAATATTCAATTCTTAAATACTCTTTCTCTCTTCCATTTAGTTTAATATTCAGGTAGAACCACGAAACCCCACGGGAGACCTTATTTTCTTTTCTCCCCCCCCCCACATTTTTAATTTATGTTTCGTTTCAACTTCAATGTAACTTTTTTTCATTGGTTTCCTTCGTGAAACATTTTGTTAAATTGGGAAGTTGGGAATTATTAAATCATTGGACTTACAGCCGTGGACTTATCACCAACAAACGTATATTTAATATTTTTGTCCGTGTGATGCAGAGGTCACCATTTCTGCTGTTGTCCAAATGATCAACAGTAACAAATTTTGTTACCTTTCAGCCCCATTCCTCTATTTTTATTGAAATTTTTTAGGCAAATTTTTAACTGCACGTCATTTTCCCTACGTGTCTGGTAAATTACATTGTGTGTTTATAACACCTTGAATTGCAACTATATGTTGTAACATTTTGTAAACACTCAAATTTTCTGGTTTAATAACATGATTTCCTCGTCTTTAACCTTTTGAGATCTGGGACTTTAAATAATGGCAGAAAATGAGATCTTTGCTTCGAAGTATATCGTTTAGAAAAAAATAAGCTCATTTACAATTTTTTAAGGAATTTAATTAATTAAATTTCATTAATTAAAGATAATTGAAACTAATAAATATTTTCAATCTCTATCTCTACGTAAAATTGTTTTAGAACTTTTTACATGTTATTATAGTGTTCGGTTACGAAACAAAAATATCTCATGAAACTGTCAGGAAGGTTTCTTGAATTGAATTTCTTAAAATGTTTCGTTGCAATAAAAAATTCCGATTAATGAGTATATAGCCGAATACATTTTTACCAAATATTATTTATCATAAAACTGTTTTCAATTGAATTTCTTAAAATGTTTCATTACAATAAAAATTCCGATTAATGAGTATATAGCCGAATACATTTTTGCATAGACTTGTGAAAGCATAAAAATAGAAAAAATTATAAAGTATTGTTCCTAATTAATAAATTAAACGTTGTTCATTATTTAACTCATTTTCAGATTCACCGAAATGTACGAATCTTACTATGTTTTCTCTATTAAAATCTTTAATTGAGAAAAATTTAAGTTATCATTTTGAAAAATGTAATTTTTTTCTGATACATATTTCTTTATAATTTACAATAAACTTTTCAATGTTAATAAGAAGAAATTGGCGGTCCAACATTTGTTAAATCAACATCAATGTATTTGCATTTCTATCCTATTCATCAATGAATAAAGCAATTCATTCAATGAATACTTCACAGTAAATGAATTTTGTTAATTATGATTTGATTTTCAGCAATCAGTATTTTTGCAAATCATTTACCTCACTTTTATTTAAAATTTTCCTCAATTATTTCAATGACATTCATTATTTCTTAATGAGATGTAGCTGTAACGGTTTTGTATTATGCTCTGAACTACACTATTCGCTTCACATAATTAGTTATCAAATAATAACATCACGGTCATTTTTTTCCTTCCAAACAATAGCATTAATGGATTAAAAAAGTAACAAAATTTATGCTTTAACGTGGTTGAATTGAAACATTTCTGGTTTTCTCTCTAATGTTTCGTTATTTCAAACAGTGTGTAATGGATTGAAACACACTGAAAAAACATTTATATAAAGATCAGGGGGGAGGGAGCAAAATGTTTTCCTAATTCTAAATGAAATTGAGCTATATGTGAAGATGTTATAGCTAGTCAAATGAATTTGTAAAACCAAAGTAAAATTGAAATCAATTTCAAACTCGTTTGACGAAACGTTTTTCATCTCTTGATTTTTTTTTCCAGACCGTGATCACTCAGCCAATGAGAAATTTATTTTTAAAATGAGTTTTCAAAAATTATTATCTAAATGGACGGTTGAGGGAAAACCTCTACAATACACATATTTGCCCCAATTCTTACAATTAATTCTAAGATGCTCCTCTTTGTGTTTCAATTTATATCATTGAAAAAAAGTGGCTTTAAGAATAAATGAAAGTTCTCGTTTGTTGCTTACTGAATTTCGCAGAAAATTAGAAAAACAACATTACCTATTTCTCTTAGATAAATGACAATAATAAAATAATTGTGCCATCACTAAAAAGAAAGAAAAAAATACTTAAAAGTTTATTTTTTAAAAAAAGAAGCCTCTTAGGGTTGAGCCGACATTTAAATAAAGAAGAGCCATTAAAGTTCTAACCATTCGAAGCACGTCTAAAGTGAAATCATTTTTTTTCGTTTTTCTATTTTTTGAAATATAATATAATGAAGTAATAATATGTTTATATAGGACATTAACAAATTCAAAATATTTCTCCTCCTCACAGTGACATTCATAATCGAATACATTTTTCCTTCCTAAATTTTTGCTTATATCATTATAATTAGAACTTAAAAATTCAATACTAAAAGGCATAAAATTTATACCCATTTACCATATACATAATTATTTTACATACATAATTTTAACAGTGTTATAATTAATACTTTAGATATAGTAGGAGATATTGATTTAAGACTACAAAAGGAAAATTACTACTTGATTTTATAGAAAACAATTTTGCCATATGGGCTAAGCGATACCTTCGATTTGTGTTTTGTTCTTTATTTTCTTTAAATTTTATTTTCTGCTTTTTGCTTTCAATGTTTCATTTCTTATATATTTTTTATTTAATGTGTTCTATTTTTATTTCAGTTTTTTTTAGTGCTCTTCACAGTATTGTATTGATATACTTTGCTTAGGCTTTATTGATACAATATTAGAAAGCACTTCCTTTTGCGGATATAATTGTGTGAGCTGATGAAGGTATTATATCTTTTCATTATTTTGTTTTGCAGCTTTTTACTACAGTTTTGAAAAAATAAACTAAAAGAATTTTTTTTAAAAATATATTTAATTTTAGTAATTTTTCTTCTTATCTTTTCATTAATCTATATTATTTTCCGTGTTTTGTCTATACTTTTAACTTATTTTAGGAGTTTTGTCTACTTGCAGCGTATGCGCAGTAAATAAAACTTATTGATTTTTTAAATTTTTTCTCTCTTTTTTTTCTTTTTATCCTCTGTCTCTCTCTCTCTACATGTATATATATACATATATATAAATAATATATAAAGCGATCTAGAGGAACTCTGCCGTGACCTCTTCTTAGTAGGCACTGGGCCAAAAACCTCAAGATTTTTTTTTTTACGCCTGCTTCCTTCTCTACTAATACTACGAATAAACCCCAATTACTTTCCGTTCATTTATAACTTTCTAGGAAAAAAAAAGTAAGCGAGTCATTCAATTCATTCAAAAACGTCATTCAATTTACTTTTGCTCATTGTTCTATCTTTTCACGGAGCAGATGGATTGAGACAAGATCTTATAATGAGGAATCTACTAATGGTCATCTTTGTGTCCGGCTTTCTGCCACCTGCTTTGTTGCTCGCACAGAGAAATGTTCTATTTGCTTCTCTCTATGATGATCAGAATCTGGCAACAAGAATCAACTGTCAGGTAAGTTATAATTTTATAATCTATTGCTGAATCAATTAGCACTTTATGAAAATAAATCAGAGCTCAGCCTATCTCAAACTGAAAACGAAAGGTTTTAATCACGATTTTCTCATCTTTTACCTTCTCAGGGACTTAGGGGGACAAAAACTATCATAGTAAAGGTTTTTATTTATTTATTTATTATTTATTTTAATTTTTTGTATTAGATTTTCAAAACGTAAGAGTCCAATTATATTTAATTTAGGCTTCATATTCTTTTAATTTGATGCTATATGTAAGACTAAAAATAAGGAAGTTATTCCTTTCCGTTTCTTTAAAAAAATTTTTTTACAGTTAAATTTGCTTACTTCAAACCCTGACTAACGAAACTCCGTGTGTAGCGAAGAAGTTTTCATAAAATAGCTTATTGCATGCTAAAAAATACAATTATAATAATAATTACAATAAAATTAACGAAGCCCTTTTCTTAATTTTTTTTAAAAACTATGTCATTGAAACTGTCAGAAATAGCTTGGAAGGTGACGTCTGAGTGGCTGGCTCATATATATATATTTGGGAATTATTAAATCATTGGA